CAACTTATGTACTGAATTTCGAGTTAGCCAAGCCATAAATACCATTTTTTCGAATAGGTCAGTCTCTGGTCCACTTACCAGAAAAAAAGCTATTTCAACCGTTAACCTAAGCAAAGCACCACTTATATACCGAATATCATTTAAATCGAGTCATTAAAAGTAAGTCGGTACCTGTCGTCCAGTTAGCCCATTACTTCCCAAGCATATAAAACATTGCAAAGCATAAAAGCATAAAAACATTGCAACATTACAAAACAGGAAAAGTGGTTTAAAGCCACCCTCTACGTTAAGGAAAAACAATATGAGAAAAAATTTAATAAAAAAAATACCTTTGTTGCTAAATCCGGACATGCTGACTATGACATATGGTCACATGATTAGAAATAATGTAAGTTAATGTAAGTTAGCAATCACTGCAAAGTGTTCTTTCACATTAAATGGTTAGATTATTTTTTTACAACCTTGTAATTGGCAACGCCTCTGTGACCAAGATCAGAGACTTGACAAATTGTAAAAAAACTTCTGAAGAATCTGGTGTGGGTTTAGTTTTCTTGCCTTCAGCTTTTTTCGTCCAAGAAAAACAAACCATTCGTCTAAAATCTTGCCGAGGTATGTACTCATCTTTATTTACGTGATTGTAAACTCACTAGGAACATGTAAAGACACAAATAGCTAGAGGGTATTACCATTTTTTTATCTATGCAAGCAACTTTTTTACCACTGTTGAACCCAAGCAGTCGCCCGTATAAGCAAAAATTTGAGCCTTCTTGCCTGTTTAAAGCGAAAATTTTTAACACTTTACGCTGACCCCACACGATGCCCAAAGCTGTATCAAAACCTCTCTGTTTTACCTTTTCTAAATTGTTTGATCTCTTCGTGACCAAAGTATGTGACGATCATTTCGTCAAAGCTTTACTGGATTAAAATATTCCCTACTTTCAGAATGATTCATTAACTTTATCGATAAAAGGGCGAATTTTCAAAGATCTGTCAGTGTTATCAATTATTGAGTTGTCATTGAAATGAAAATAGGATTCAGTTTTCAACTGAAATGTGTACATCATCATCTCTGCAGCAATAAGGTTTACTTTGAATCCAAACTACTATAAACACTTTTAACTCACTTACAATTAGATTGAAGTTGAAATCTGCTTAAACCAGAAGCCTAATTGTTATAATTTAAGTATATATTAACGACGAAACCAACGTTACTCACCTCCCGGCCAACCGAGGGATAATCGAAAAATCCATGAGACCCGTGACCAAAAAACGGTAACAGTCCGGACTGCCCTGAACCCAAAACGGGAACGGAAGGTCAAGGTTACTTTTGTCTCTCATACTAAACAGCTGCAAATCGTTCATCGACTGCTATAAAATTGCATGAGAAAAATTTGCCTAATTATTTAAAGCACTCAGTAAGTAGGTTTGTAATGACAACCCTCACATGACATGACTGTGTTTGTATCCATGTGTGTGCTAGTGTGTATGTTTACCTACCGTCACGGAAATGCTGCATACCTTTAATGGCAAGGCTTAAAAGCCTTGTGTACCCTGTGATTCAGCAGGTAAAGCAGTCTTAGGTTCGTTTGTGTGAATGTGAGTCTTGTGGAATTCGGCAAGAGCCAATTTAAAGTCGGGGAATTTTAGAGCATGCAACGTTTTTGACTGGATCAACGCCCTTAAGAAATCGGTAATTGAAAGGCAAGATCATTCGAGAAAGTTTGCGGTATAAGTAAAGTGGTTAAAGTGACTTATTAAAAAAAATAAAAAGGTTGTGAAAATTTAAAGTACACTTTCATGTGCGCAAAATAAAACACGAATAGTGAAATCTCTGCAAATTTACAGGACACTTCTGCTGTCCTAAATAGTCTACAAAAAAACTCGGAAATTGAGGAAAGTGGGTAGAACTCAAATATTATTAGATATTATAAATAGGGTTACTAATTAAATTTATTTGATATTTGTTTAGGTCGCGAGCATCGGGACGCAAAAGGACGTTTTTAATTAAAATTCGAAAATTTCAAGTGGAAGTTGAAGAAGGAACAGGCACTGCTTTTGAAGCGGAAGAAAAAACTGCACTTCTTTATCCACTGAAACCGTGTATGCAAACCATAGAGTATAGAAGGAGATTTTTACACGCGATCAGCTGGAGCGTACCATCACCATCACCAGCTGACCACGATCAGCCACTACCAATAACAACAACTGTTGTTAACTACACATGAATATAGACATATATACATATATTTAGACTTTATGTGCGCCAAGCAAATTTAATTAAATTAAATTCCTTTTGGAGATAATATTTTTTGCTCCTATTTTGTATATTTTCGATAATCATTTTTAATCCTGACCTTAGACCACCTTAATTCAAAAATTGTTTTAATAATCATCTCATCTTTTCTTTTAGGTTTTAAGTAATTTTTTTCATATGTTTTTTTTTTAATATTGGTTTTTATTCTGATTTCCTAATTTGAGTCTATGTCTTGAATTTCCTTTTTTTATTTAAACAGAATTTGAAGTTTTGAATCTATTTGTCTTCATAAGTTATCTCTTTTACGCTATTTTGTAATAATTCGAATGTAAAAGATCAATTCGCCATCGAAAGATTCTGTTGTTGTTTGTCATTTTCGTAAATTTTTTTTTTCTGATCCTAATTTTCTTTCTTCTAAATATTAAACTCAAATCAATTAAATTTAGAAATTTTTTTTTTGTTTTATATATCTAATTTGAGTTTCCTTTTTATTATTCTGAGTAAATGGAAAATTTTCCTTGTTTATTGATTTATAGTCTTCCTACTTCTTAAATTTTTTTTTGAACTTCGTTTGCAAATTTGAACTCCTCTTTACTTTTGTTTGATCCCGATTATTTTCTTTAATTTTCTTCTTATAATTCTTTTCTAACGGGAATTTTCAATTTGCATCGCTTCTGACCCACTCGCGGTGTCCAAGCACAAGTGAGTTATCAGCATAGCGATAGGCTTGGTAGCCTGACCTACCAATGTACATATAATATGTATGACAGATAACTAAACTTCTCACTTTCCAGCCCTTCCAGCTTCGTCTCGAATTGTTGGTACCATAAACGTGTGACAAGAGGGAGTGCTGAGAGCATTTTTTATTCATACCTATGTACTATTAAATAGTTTTTCTCATACGTATATATGTGTATATATATACATATATATATATATATATATTTTTTTTTTGTTAAAAATTTTGCCTGAAGCGAATATAGTTTCGCGTGTATAACGTACACAAGAAGCCGCTGGATATTGTGGTAGTCCAAAAATTAACGATAAACGAAGAAAAAGGAAAATATATTTATATAGGTAGTAAGTTGTATTGAGTTGAACGGAAGAAAAGTTAAAGAAAAGGTTGATCCTTTATATTCAACTATTTGTATATTTTTGAATATTCGTATAAAAATTGGCGAAGTAGAGGTGAATTTTCTTTCAATAATGAAGTGTCTTAGTTGAAGCAGGAACTAGTCCATATGGAGGAGTAGATCACTTTGTTTTTGGTGTGGGTTAACACACACCAGGGTGTGAAAGGGGAAGTGAGGACGTAGACTAGACTATACGGAAAGGACTAATGGACCAATAGACGGGCATACTTTCTCAGGATTAGGGGGTCGCGTAAGCGAGATGGGACAGCTCCACCTGACAGGACAGGCCTTTCCTTCTCCAATTTCCTCTTACGTTAAATTTCCCATTCCGAGCTCTTTTTAAACCCCTCCCCAAATATATGTTTTTTATCTATTTAAAATCAGGCATGATTTTATTTTGTTCATGTTGGAGACGGCAAGGCGGGTGGAAACAACCCCCCCCCCCATCCGGCGAGCTAGCCCAGTCGAAAAACCACCATGCCTGAAAACCACTTCGCCTACCGACTACACCTTCGCATGTTTTTTTCCTTTTTATTCCTTTCTAGTCCCTTTCAGATCCTTCCAATCGGACGAATTAAAATCACGAAAACAACGTCGCTTACGGTTACTGCGAAAGGCTTGTGTCTGAGAGACAACTTGAGGGGGGGAGTATAACCTGCCTTTTCTGATGCATGTATATGCAACTTTAGTTTTACATGTTTTCTTTTGATGAGATAAGGGTGAGCTACCTAGCGGTTTATTCAGCGTCATACAATAGTGAGGTTTATTACTGACAATCTCGGTGGTAATTGGGGGGCAGTGTGGTATTCGTCGCTAAGATTACGATGGCGGCGATTGAAATGTTACACCAATTTGCAACTGCAGGTTTAGATGGGATGAAATCGACTTAGGACAGAATACATACGGATATGCGTGCGTTCACGCAATGACCTGGCTTAGTGTAACACCAACCAAGCACCAAAAGTATTAGATACCAGTTTGAGGAGACATAACAACCACGCAAAAAAATAGAATAAATATATGTGCGTATATATACACTAATTTCTTTTTTGTAAACAAGTATTATATACATATTCTATTTCATACGTATTTTCTATATCCATTTATTATCTATATATGTATTATAACATATACAAATATATACATAATTTAAAACATAAATTATTTAAAATTTTGAATTGTTATTCAAAGTTGCGTTTGGGTATTTACATATGTATAACACTCCAATCGAGTTTTAAAACTTTTTTTATCTAAAATTGATTTGAATTTGCAAATTTCATTTTGTAATCTCCGGTTTCGTTGTAGAGTTATCGAGTCATTTAGTCTGAAAAAAATTTATTAAGATCAATAATACAATAATACTAAATTTCACTTATAAGTGTATAAGCATACTAACCTGTAACATTGGGGTATTTTGAATATATCTGAATTTTTCAATATTTCATTTGCATCAAAAAAATCAATTATTGAAATCTTGAAGTCTTAGAGTTTTGAAGCTTGGAGTGGGTTCTGCTTTGAGCCGAGTTTTTGCGTGAATGGAAAATAGAGAGATTGAAGATCAAGTGAGTTAGAACAGAGTGCAAGTCGGGGGTTTGAAATTGTTGGATACTAACCGCAGAGTAACGAGAAGCGTAGCCCGAGCGGTTGAAATTCAAATAGTCGGTTAGATTTTCACGCAAATTGATACTGGGATCCAGCATCCAGCAGACCTCGTCCCGGCTGAGTTTTTTAATCGCTTCAAAGGTGGCATTTGAAATTTGATAGCTCATCAAAGGATATCTCAGTGTTTCTGTTTTTAGAGTGGAGAAAATGTGGGAGCAGTGTGCCATTTCCTACCGCCCGCTATTCATCGACTTCCATTGTCTGGTTACTAATTGTGCTTTGGAATGGTATTGGCAAACACTCGAGGACCATGCTAATGATTCGATCTTCGGGTACTTCGATTTGAAGGCAGAATTGCTAACCCATTTCAACACGGCAGAGACCGATTATGAGGTAATCCGGAAGATCAGGGAGAGAAAACAATCGCCACAAGAATCCATCGAAGAGTTTTATAGTACACAACATCACTTTTCGTTTAAGGAAAAAACGAAATAAGAGTAATAGATGAAGCCAATAGTGAAAATAAATCAGATTCGAGAGAGATAAAAGAAGTATGTATAAGTATATATAAGTTTCCAAAATCCAACTATTCACTCGTTTTGCCCATCACCCTTCCATTTAATGTTATGTCTTAAGTGTGGCTTACCTGTCGACCATTATGTGAAAAACTCTCTTGACGCCCGTAAAGAGAATAAGTGTCTGTCCAAGTTTAATGAGATCTTGTGTTTTGCGTGTGGCAGTAATACGTCTTTTTGTGTTTGTAAATAAAGTTTGGGAAGCCCGATGCTGGCAGAGATCGCCAGGAACTCTAGCCAGCGGAAAGAACACCCGGAAATTACCCCATGAAAGCCCTAGAAAAATGTCTCGTGATAGTCTTAATTAGGAAGATTGTTGTAATGCAAGGCGAGGATAAAATTGAAAACTTAAAAACTAGGCGTGAGATTAAGAGTCTACACCAAAGGAAGATTGATTATGAGGAGGCGCGTAGATGCATATTTTGTGAAGAATTAGGTAATAAGAAAAAGAATAGGAATTTTATGAAGATCAGGAAAAAGAGAGAGAAACAAAAGAAACTTGAGAAGATAGCCAGAAAAATAATTTCTACAATAGTCACTCTCCAAGGAGACAATAGATTTTTTGCAAAAACTACAATTTGAGGCCGGGATACATTTGCGCTCTTAGACTCAGGAGCCGGGGCAAGTTGTGTGGGGCGAAATTCAAAAAAAACTACTTGGGAAAGCAACATCTCATAATGCCGATAACAGACCAACACATAAGGCCTGCCAATGGAAGAAAGAAAGCAATGGTAGGAGTCATTACATTGCCCGTCCTCTGGAATAATGCCACGAAAGATTTGGAACTCCTGATTGTTTCGGGGCTTCAACAGGAAGTGTACTTAGGAGTGGAGTTTTGGAAGGCATTTGGTATGAGTGTTGTGAATGAAGGTGCGGCTGCGAGTGTGGATAAAGCTACCGTTTCAGAGCTCGTCCTCGTGCATAATGAGCTAACGCCCAACGAAAGGAAGGTTTTAGACAAAGTCAAAATGCACTTCCCTTTTTTGCTGTGTTAGGGTTGGGCAAGATAGGTAAGGAGGAACATATAATTGAAGTAACCAACGATAACCCCTCAGTAAAAAGAAGGCACTATCTTATATCTCCAGCAGTGCAAAAAACTTGTATACGCGGTGTTGGAAAGAATGCTAGACATGGGTGTTAAGCAATAGTAGCTGAAACTCACCTGTGTCACTAGTATTAAGGGCAACAAAAATCGGCATTGTTTAGATGCGCGAAAAGTCAACGAAAGAACGATAAAAGATGCTTATTCACTCCCTCATATATATGGTATTTTAAACCGGTTACAAAATACACGATAAATCTCTGCCATCGATCTAAAAGATGCATTCTGGTAGATACCACTTAAAATGAAGTCGAGGGAAAATACTGCGTTTACAGTGCCTAGGAGATCCCTTTATTAGTTCATTGTCATGCTTTCAGTTTGAGTAATGCGACACAACGTATGTGTAGGTTTATGGACATGGTTGTACCTGCTTTTTAACGTGAATCAGTGTTTGTGTATTTAGAAGATTTACTTGTGTATTCGGAAGACTTTATGTCACACTTGTTCTTGTCAGTGAAAGTTGCTAAATGTCTGCGTGAAGTTAAATTGATGATAACCGTTGGAAAGAGTAGATTTTGTTACAAAGGAGCTAAGTACTTAGGATACGTTGTTGGAAACGGATGCTTGCGTACGGATGCAAACAAAATTGCGGCAGTCAGAGACTTTCCGGAACCAAGAGCAACTCAGGCGGTTCCTGGAGAAGACAGGGTTGTACCGGAAATTTATCCAAGATTTCGCGACCATTGCAGCTCCGCTGCACGACTGCCTCACAAAAGATAAAATAAAGAGGCCAGGAAAGCTTTTGAAAAACTAAAACAGAGTCTTATTTCTGCACTAGACTGACACATCCGGACTGTAACCGACATTTTTACATCCAATGTGACGCCTCAACTGACGGAGTTGGAGGGGTACTCTTCCAATTAGATGACGAATATAACAAACGCCCAATAGCTTACATTTCGGCAAAATTGAATAAGCCGCAACGAAACTACAGCATCACCGAATTAGAATGTTACGCGGCGGGGCCTAGCGTAAAACGATTTAGGCCACATGTAGAAGGGCTTCCCTGCAGGGTGATAACAGACCACGCTTGCTAGGTAACGTTTACGAGCGGACGCAATTTAATACAGGGGATGACATTCAGCAGGATCACGCCTGGAAACTCTGAGTTCCAACTGAGTTGCAGCTGGAGTTAATGGGGTCTGCACACGATTCGCCATCTACTGGCCACGGCGTTGTGCACAAAACATTATCCAGGATCCGAGAAAAGTATTATTGGCCAGAGATGGTAACGGAAGTCCAAAATTATATAAAAGCATGTGAGACTTGTAAAGCCAACAAAACCCAAAATACATTTAAAATGCCACTTATGGGAAGGCAACATGTAACTAATAGGCCCTATCAACGTTTATTCATCGATTTTATGGGCCCATACCCACGTACTTGTAGTAGTAATGTCTTTGTGTGTTTAGATCATTTCACCAAATTTGTATTTTTAAAACCTATGCGAAATGTCATTTCAGCTAACGTAATCAAGTTTTTAGAAGATGAGGTTTTCCTTGTGTTTGGTGTACCAGAGTACGTATGTACATTTCGTTAATAGAAAACAGTTTGTTTCAGAAGTTTTCAATGAATTTTTAGAAAAATGTGGAAATAAACATGTGAGAGCTGCTTTTTACTAGCCACAGGCCAACGCAGCCGAAAGGGTAAATATGTAAGTTCTGCAGATCGTTAGGTCCTTTATAAGGGAAAATCCAAAAAAGTTGGGATAAGCACACCAGTGACACAACGTTCGCTCTACGCAGCGCAGTGCATTCTGCGATCAATAGCTCGCAGTACCATGTTCTCTTTGGTATGCTTATGATACAGCATGCTGCATCATATGAGTTACACCGAAGATTGGGCTCGGTCGGAGAAGCGGAATACTAGGTCGAAGCGCAAACTGACGGAATGCGGCTTATAAGAAATAAAATAAAGATTGAACTGAAGTTGGCTTATGAAAGAAACAAGAAAGAGTACAACACTAGAACTAGGAATGTTAGATTTCAAATTGGACAAATGGTGTATTGCCGAAACTTTAAACAGAGTTCCAAAATTAAAGCAAATTAAATGTGTGGTTCTGAAAATGATCGGTAACTCTTTGTATGAATTAAGCTACACCAATGGAAAAAAGATCAGGGTATACCACGCTAAGGACATTTTTGTAGCATAGGTCTCGTGAAATACGTATTGAATGTTGGAATGTTTTTATGCCGATGTCTACTGTTCGAATGTGCATATGCATTTTACTGTTTTATTATATGTTTTTGGGGTGTGTCGATATATGTAGCTATGGACTTGTTTGGTTATATATATATTTTTTTTAATTTTTCATCTTATACTAATAGTAACTCGACCATTCCTAGAGACTCAGAGATATTTTATTTTACATGTGTCTAGATTTTCTTAATCTATATCTGTGGGATCTTTGTTTTTATGACATGTTTTCATTCACTTACATATTTATTTATTACCTATTATTTTTTTTTATTTCTATTTAACTGCATATTCATTGTGAACTTGACGCTCGGGATAGTTACCCAATATCTGTGATATTTATGTTTAGGTATTTTCGTTATAGACTGTGATCGTATTTAGTTCAGAATAAAATAGTTTGCCAATGGCCACACGTTCGAGATGAAATCTAATGCATCGGCTTCGTTATTAAATGTTTTACGCACACGCTCCATGGTGCATGCAACATCGACGGATGCGAGCCTGTAACGACAGCCCTTACATGACATGACTGTGTTTGTATCCATGTGTGTGCTAGTGTGTATGTTTACCTACCGTCACGGAAATGCTGCATACCTTTCATGGCAAGGCTTTAAAGCCTTTTGTACCCTGTGATTCAGCAGGTAAAGCAGTCTTAGGTTTGTTTGTGTGAATGTGAGTTTTGTGGAATTCGGCAAGAGCCAATTTAAAGTCGGGGGATTTTAGAGCATGCAACGTTTTTGACTGGATCAACGCCCTTAAGAAATCGGTAATCGAGAGGCAAGATAATTCGAGAAAGTTTGCGGTATAAGTAAAGTGGTTAAAGTGACTTATTTAAAAAAATAAAAAGGTTGTGAAAATTTAAAGTACACTTTCATGTGCGCAAAATAAAACACGAATAGTGAAATCTCTGCAAATTTACAGGACACTTCTGCTGTCCTAAATAGTCTACAAAAAAACTCGGAAATTGAGGAAAGTGGGTAGAACTCAAATATTATTAGATATTATAAATAGGGTTACTAATTAAATTTATTTGATATTTGTTTAGGTCGCGAGCATCGGGACGCAAAAGGACGTTTTTAATGCACTTCTTTATCCACTGAAACCGTGTATGCAAACCATAGAGTATAGAAGGAGATTTTTACACGCGATCAGCTGGAGCGTACCATCACCATCACCAGCTGACCACGATCAGCCACTACCAATAACAACAACTGTTGTTAACTACACATGAATATAGACATATATACATATATTTAGACTTTATGTGCGCCAAGCAAATTTAATTAAATTAAATTCCTTTTGGAGATAATATTTTTTGCTCCTATTTTGTATATTTTCGATAATCATTTTTAATCCTGACCTTAGACCACCTTAATTCAAAAATTGTTTTAATAATCATCTCATCTTTTCTTTTAGGTTTTAAGTAATTTTTTTCATATGTTTTTTTTTTAATATTGGTTTTTATTCTGATTTCCTAATTTGAGTCTATGTCTTGAATTTCCTTTTTTTATTTAAACAGAATTTGAAGTTTTGAATCTATTTGTCTTCATAAGTTATCTCTTTTACGCTATTTTGTAATAATTCGAATGTAAAAGATCAATTCGCCATCGAAAGATTCTGTTGTTGTTTGTCATTTTCGTAAATTTTTTTTTTCTGATCCTAATTTTCTTTCTTCTAAATATTAAACTCAAATCAATTAAATTTAGAAATTTTTTTTTTGTTTTATATATCTAATTTGAGTTTCCTTTTTATTATTCTGAGTAAATGGAAAATTTTCCTTGTTTATTGATTTATAGTCTTCCTACTTCTTAAATTTTTTTTTGAACTTCGTTTGCAAATTTGAACTCCTCTTTACTTTTGTTTGATCCCGATTATTTTCTTTAATTTTCTTCTTATAATTCTTTTCTAACGGGAATTTTCAATTTGCATCGCTTCTGACCCACTCGCGGTGTCCAAGCACAAGTGAGTTATCAGCATAGCGATAGGCTTGGTAGCCTGACCTACCAATGTACATATAATATGTATGACAGATAACTAAACTTCTCACTTTCCAGCCCTTCCAGCTTCGTCTCGAATTGTTGGTACCATAAACGTGTGACAAGAGGGAGTGCTGAGAGCATTTTTTATTCATACCTATGTACTATTAAATAGTTTTTCTCATACGTATATATGTGTATATATATACATATATATATATATATATATTTTTTTTTTGTTAAAAATTTTGCCTGAAGCGAATATAGTTTCGCGTGTATAACGTACACAAGAAGCCGCTGGATATTGTGGTAGTCCAAAAATTAACGATAAACGAAGAAAAAGGAAAATATATTTATATAGGTAGTAAGTTGTATTGAGTTGAACGGAAGAAAAGTTAAAGAAAAGGTTGATCCTTTATATTCAACTATTTGTATATTTTTGAATATTCGTATAAAAATTGGCGAAGTAGAGGTGAATTTTTTTCTGATGTAAGCTTTTACATCTTGTTTGTTAGTTATAAAATAAAAGAACTAATTGAACTATATAGCAATTCTGAGGTGTCTTACTTGAAGCAGGAACTAGTCATTATGGAGGAGTAGATCATTTTGTTTTTGGTGTGGGACGTAGACTAGACTATACGGAAAGGACTAATGGACCAATAGACGGACATACTTTGTCAGGATCAGGGGGTGGAGCAAAATACGGAGTCAACGTGGCACCCATCGTCGCGGAAGCGAGATGCGGAAAGAGGGCGGGACAACTTCACCTGACAGGACAGGACTTTCCTTCTCCAACTTCCTCTTACCTTAAATTTTCCATCTCGAGTTCTTTTTAGATTTGATTTGTTATAATAGCGTCGAAAATATTGGGGATATTAAATTACTTTGAATCACCCTGTCATTCCCAATAGAAGGTCTACTTCTA